ATCCCAATCCCCAATTATATGGGTTTTTTCATCCAAAAATATTACAGTTTCCATTATGTCGTGTTCAAATCTGTGAACATTCAAAAGGATTGAAAAAATGTTGGGCAAAGCAAATTGTTTCAGTTGTTGTTGTTGTTGTTGTTATTGAAAGATGTGAACATTCACATGCAATCAAAAATTGTTGGGCAAGCAAATTGTTTCAATTATTGTTGTTACAGTTGTTGTTGTTGTTGTTGTTATTGAAAGATGTGAACATTCACATGAAATTGAAAATTGCTATGCAAACAAATTGTTTCAGTTGTTATTGTTGTTGTTATTGTTGAAAGATGCAAATATTCACATGGATTGAAAATGTTTGGGGAATCAAAATATTTCAGATGTTATTGTTGTTGTTGTTGTTGAAAACTGTGAACATTCACATGGTTTGAAATGTTTGGACAATCAAATTGTTGTTGTTAACCGTAATGAACATTTACATGAAAATTCCTTGTATCAGATATTGTTGTGATATATAATTACGTTGTGAACATTCATTACATGTGTAAATTAATTAGACACTTTATGAACATTCACCACTGTGTTTAGAGGAAATATATCACTTTGGTTATCCCATATTTGAAACTGTATTTCAATTTTGAGGTTGTATTATAAAATTGACATTGTATGATTGTAGTAAATATGTGCATTGTCATCCAAATTAGAACTGTGTATGTTCACAACATAATTATAAATATACATTGATTTTTACACACACACACTATACACATTGTGTTTCTGCTGACACAGTGAACATCCACATCGATGGACAGATGTGGACATTCACACCTATGCACATAACTTTGGACATTCACACCCATGCACACAACCGTGAACATTCACATCTATGCCAATGCTGTGAATGTTCACATCTGTGCCACTATGCTAAACACATGAGTCTTGTCTTAATTTTTTTTTCATGCTCTATTTTGCCGATATCGCACAGAAGAAAGCTTCAAAATGAAAAGGAGATGGATACCATGTTAAGGAAGAAAGCCCATATGCAAGTACTAGCAGCAATGTTGACATGCAACGTGTCAACTACAAATCTAACATGACCAGACTGGTGAAATTAATGAAAAGCACCAAATTCACACAAGCATAGCTCGGCTGCCTGCAGCAAACACCTTTGTAACATTTATTAGATGCATTGAGAAACAATGAGATCGACCATGACAAATGCATGAAGTATGATGATGTTGTTGTGCATGTCCTACAAATGTACAAGGCTTCAAAAGATGCCTTCGACATTGGGAAGAAGAAGATGAACATACACGACAGTGACATTAAGCTGATTTTCGGTGTGGACTATGGCACCAAACCAATAGACATATCATATGGTATGAAACCAAAGACTGGCATTATAAACAAAAGGTGCAAAAATGTCAACCGATTGACTTCAAAATGGATACGCACCTTTTTTGACCGAGGCATTGAAAGGCAAAAAGAAAGATAACAATAAAGAAGTCTCCCGACTAGTCTGCGTATATGCTTGCCAGAAACTTTTTTTCTCAACAAACAGCGAGACAATAAGATGGGGCTACTCCGCACATATAGTCCCATTGGAAAGCATACAAGAATATGATTAGGCCAAACAAATTAGAACAATACTGACATCCTCCATTTCCCAAAATGACAAAAAGTCGACAAAAGTCACCAGTTGTGTCATGTTATTAATGGTAAGTAGCCATGTTCTCAAATAATAACATTTACACGTTCTTCACTATTGTTTATCTTTGCTAAATGTAAACATTCACATCATTCGCATCTGTCTCACTGATGTGAATGTTCATATTCACTTCTACTTTACTGTTGTGAATGTTCACATCTGTACCACTGATGTGAATGTTCATATTCACTTCTGCTCTACTACTGTGAATGTTCACAATTGTGCCACTGTTATGAATGTTCACATCTGTTGACATTGCTCCGCAAAGGCTAAATAACATATGTCTTTGTTGTTTTGTTAAACTACTGGTTGTGTGAACACACAACCATCCTACGACCCCACAAGCCCAATGTTATTCCTCGTTGTATCAAGTGGAACCTGACTGCTTTACAGAAGAAGATGAAATCCACCTCTTTAGCTGATCTTGGTTTTAATGAGGTATGACCTGCAAGTGTTGTTCAAAACATTCACATCATGACACCACCCAAAAATATACGTTAACTAACATACTTTTTCATTTCAAGTTAATGCCGGCGAACTCTTCGCAACCCCAACAAAATTCCAAAAGTTTAGGCGTACAACATTGAAGGTGCAACCCGAATGTCATGAACCAGCCACCACATCTCTCGATCTCTCTAACATCAAAGAAGAACAACATAGTGGCAGCAACACTGAATTTCCCGGAGTGGGAGTTGACCTAAATGACAGTAATGAGGACATTCACATTCTCTTCAGCAGCCCACCTGATGAGAGAGCTATTGTCATAACAACCATAAGCCAACCCAACATCATCGATATGCTTGTCAAAGAAAATCAAAAAGCCTGGGGCATCATAAAGCAGTGGAAAGCAAAATACAAACACCTTGAATTCTCATGGGAGTTAAGGGCAAGAGTGATAGCTGATCTCAAAGATAAACTGTTCAACCAATCAAGCCCACCCAACATGAACACTGAAATAAAAAAGTGCATGGAGTAGAAGGATGCAGAAATTAAGCACTTAACGCAGCTGGTCATCGACTTAGAATGCGAGAAAACAGTTCTTCAGGACCTTTACGATGATCAGTCAGTCCATATTGTCACACAAGCCAAGGCGCAGAAGCAACCCCCCACCCCAATGCAACACAATCTCAGCCCACCTTCTAAGGTGAAGCGTATCAAGGAGAAAGCTCGAAAAGAGCATCGCTTGCCTGACTTCTAGTACCCAGACTTACCTGGCCAAAAAAAAGAGCATAATCAAGGTCCAAACCAGTCCTATACACTCCACATAGTTGAAGATGTAAACAAACATCCACCGGCGAAGCAACCAAAAAAATTATTGACGTTGACCAACAAGTTCAAAGTCTGGAGCATGATGTCCAAACACGACAAGCAAAAGGTCCAAACTTTACAAAAGAGTAGAGGCGATGAGTAAGTGACTGTAAGAACACTTAATGTGAACATTTACCATCCATAAATGTGAATATTCAAATATGTGCTTATTGATTTGATTTATTCAATTATATGCAATGTTAATATTCACATTGGTTTACAAAAAATGCACAAGTTGCTTGTGTGGAAAAGAGAGTCGAAGTCTACATACATGTATTTTGATGACATTGTGTACCTTATCAAGGAGGAATCAATACACAGCAATGTATGCCATTACCAAACTGATTCATTGTTCATGCATAGACACACACACACACATACACACACACACACACACATTGTTCATCCACGACAAATAATATAATACGACCTTATGTTTGTGCAGGTGATAGATGCATATGCCGAACTATTACATGAACAACAAGAGGTGGTCAACCCAACTTCAGATGAAGCCTCATCCATCTTCAAAAGCATGTGTTTGGTAATAGCTCTAACATTCCATTTTTGCTAATATGAATGTGAAACTTCATAGTCCATTAATTGAATGTCCAATGTGTGCAAATGGTGATACGAGAGTACCCTCCTCGCAAAAGAAGTAAACACATTAATGCACATGTGAAAAACTACCAACAAAAAAGATACCTACTATTCTCATTGCCCCATGACTTCCACTAGACAATCGTTGTGTATGACGCTAAAGAAAATTTGTGGAGGCATTATAACTCATTGCGACCAAGGCCTGGCATACATGACCTGCATGTCGACCGAGCACAAGAAGTTATAAGTGGCTCTTATTGTATACAAATATGAATTGTTGTCATGTGTTAAATTCCAAAATGAATGTATACACACATATGTTCGTTAGTGCCTAATGTGAAATTCCCTACATAGAGAGAGTACATCAAGAACGTTGTGCGCGGTATTCGCGAGTCATCATCGCTATGGACTAAGTTTGCAGGCCAAGATCCGTCACAACTAATCATATCAGTTGATGTCTGTCCTTGGCAGGGCGATACCTCGTAAGCCTCACAACATTTTGTACAAATCCTCCATAACCATTATGCAAACATACATGTCAAGTGCTAATCATAACCATTTTGCATTTACTGGGTGGATTGCGGGCCTGCAGTATGTTACATCATGTGGGCACATATATACCATGAAGAAATTGTTGGCAGCCTCACTAGTTCTGAATGGTGTGGACTCGAGACTTATTAATATATAGTTTTTGAATCATAGGAAAACAGAGCGTCATTAAAACCTATAGGTAGGGGTGTCCACCTACAAATTAACCAATACTCGATATGAATGCTAATATCAATCGCTTTGACATTTTTGACAAACAACAATTGATTGTAAATCAGCGATACGACATCTATTAATGTTCCGATATGCCACTTGTGCATTTTGATCTACATTTGGTATTGTTATGTTAATTTATGCGATTGTTTGAACCAGATTGTTCTATAATACACATATTTTGTGCAGGAATGTTCACATTGTCTACACGACATCATTACGAAAGACATACACAGGTGTGAATGTTCACATTTGTTCTTATTCACAACATTTGTAAATGTCCACACCATGTCAATCTATATGCATGTGAAAGTTCACATCCTAGTTTATATTCATGTCAACATTAACAACAATAATGTAAAAAGTTCAACCCATGCGCGAGTATTCACATAATGTGATTGCTTTACACAAGTGTGAATGTTCACATCATGTATTCATCATTAAAACACCAACAACATATCAATTTTCTACCAAAAAAAAAAAAACACAAATTAAATACTAAGTTTGCCAATGCATTATTATGTTTGCCAACACAACACAATATTATTTCAAAAATCAATATAAAAGTCCCATGTAAAATACAATGTTGAAATGAAAAATGTACACCCTATATCGACTCCTTGCATGATTACCGATTGTGGCTTCCCAACTTATCACATCTCTCGCACCTTATTTGCTTTAGTTTCTCACCCCTTGATGGGATTTTATTCTTTTTCGGCCTGTCAGGTGATTTTTTCACAATTGGTGGGTATATTGTGAAGTCTGTAGGATCAAAAGGCAGCTTTTCCACCGACGGTATAGGGAATATGGCACCCGAATAGGCTGCATGATACGTCTCTACATGAAAGTAATATTCCACACAATCATTGAGATTGTAGTGGCTCTTCTGAATAGCAATAACAACATGATCACATGGGAATCCATTGATTTTCCATTTGAAGCAAGAACACGTACACCTTGCAATATCAACTGTAACAGATAGTATCGAATGAACCTCAAACACATCCTCGTTGGTTTTGCTAACCTGCCAAGACCTGCTATCATTGAACAAATCAAGAAACATTGTTTCGAATGTAGGACAAATAAGCTCATTCCACTTGTTTGCTTGGCCACGCCGCGCAGACATTTGCCGCATCAACTGAGTATAAATTGCGTCCACCATCCAAGTGATAGGAAGATTGCGTGCTTTTTTAATCCAATTATTAAATGACTCTGCCACATTGGATGTCATGTCTCCATAACGCATGCCCCTGCACAACATCACAAACATTGTACAATACTGAATTTAATTTCTTTGAAACTGAATATGAAATTTCACATCCCCACAAAACATAACTGAAATTTCACATCGTTACCATTCTAAACTTGACAAATGGAATACATTAGGAAACTATTATTACCTGAAGTATGAATTTGCCCAATGCTTAGGTGCCAACTCCTTGAAAAAATTATGTGCTCGTTACTTACCCTCCTCTTTTAATTTCTCAAGCATTTCATGAAACCCTACCACAGTTGGCTCGTAAGCATAGTTACCCAAACTCCTAACCAAGTGGTCCCTAAATCCATTATCAATTCCTTTCATCCGATCTCTTAAATTGTTCTTTAAGTGTTGTAAACAATAACTGTGGTAAGCCGATGGGAACACCTTCGGCATCGCTTCTAACAAACCATGATTACGGTCTGAACTAAAAGTAATCTGACGCTTACCATCAACAACATTCCCAAGTTCATGCAAGAACCACGACCAATTGGTCGTGGTCTCTGAATCAACAATCGCAAATGTAACAGGGAATAAACCTACAACATAACACCATTAAACAACTGATCACAATATTCCAATGTGAATATTAACACAAGTAGTTTACAAAAACATTATAAAGCAAACAGGGCATGTGAATGTTCACACTGTGTAATGATCAGTCATATATCCACACTGTGCCTCTCAATGTGCATATTTACATGGATACACAGCTAAAAACAATACTAACCACTCCATCTTTTGCCGTTGCCGCAAGTAGCGGACCTTTGTACTTTCCTTTGAGGAATGGTCCATCCAGGAATAACAAAGGACGACAAGAATTGTACCCAAAAATACACACAGTGAATGATACTAAGAAACGATAAAATCGTTGATTACTCACGTCATAGTCAATATTGACATAACTCCCCGGATTGTAACGCATCACAGCATCTGAATACCACCGCAGCTGGTCAAACGATAATGAGTGATCTCCATGAATAATAACCTTTACTTTCTCCACCCCCAACCATACCACGTGGTAACTCACATCTAGCCCATAATCTCTCTTCAAAATAGGCACCACCTCACACGACCGAGTCAACGGCTTGTCCCTCATAATTTTAGATATAGTACTCAACAACAAATCAAAACTAACTCTCGAATTCTTTGATGTTTAGACATCTATACCACAACTGTGTACATCACTGAACCTCTTGATGTAGAAAAAACCATTTACTCGTTATGCTCTACAATATATAGCCCACAAGCAACCTCTCTCCTCGCGCATCGCACACACCGTAGTAACCGTTATTGTCTCGTTCTTAACATACATAAACTGAAACCCACATTGGATTGCATACTTACATAAAACATCACGAAATTCTTATGCACCTCCAACAATCCGTTGTCCCACATGCATAATACCATTTGCCCAAGGGGCTGACAACAACACCTTCTCCTTATGGTGGCAAAATCTTTGAAGTGCATCAATTTCTTCTTCACCTCCCACACGCAGCGACCTAGAGCTACTCGACTGACCAATATCACTTTTCAAATCAACAACAACCTCTACATGGTATAACCCCATTGATTTGGCAAGCAATATCATGCTCTAAAATTCTTCGTCATTGTCCAAATCACACCTATTAATCCCAAGTAGTCAACAGAACAATGAAACAGAACAAACAGACAACTCGTCCCATTTTTCACACAAACACTCCACCAAACGCGAATAACACAATGTGCGAACCACATTTATTACAGTTGCACTGCAACCATATGTGCACACTAACATTATAAAGGTATCCATCTCCTATAAAAACACGACAAAACAAAAGTCAACAACCACGTAACAATCATACGAACAACAATACATATAATAATCCATACTACATGAGCATTCACATTGTACAAACTAAATGCCTATGTGTACAGTTTTAGTGCTAAATCCATGGTGAAAACTACCACTACCATCCTTGCACAACATAAAACATTTTACAAGCTCAAAATCACACCCCTACAATGAAATCACAGTACACAACATGCATACAACCCTCCATAACCTCATATTAGTAAGATGTGAACATCCACATTAAGCAAGCATCAAAAACTCATCAAAAAAGCACTTGCATTACCACATACATCAAAACATAACACAAAAAGAACATACATTCATACACAACGTATATGCCTATATGTATATTTTACGCTGTTAAATCCAAAATGAAAATATCACCATCATCATTACCAATGAGATGTGAACATCCAAATTGTTCACTTAATCCGAATTACCTCCCCGTTACCGAGCCATGCAAAATGCATATAAATCAAAAAAACAGAGCATTCAATCTACATACTTCAAACACCATAGCATCCAATCCATTACATAAATCAAAACATAAACTGAACATGCATTCAACACCAAAATCATACTAACCATGATCATCGAATCCTGCACTTGTCATCTACCTCGAAAACGACCGATTTGAACCAGTTATACTCCAAACAATGTCACAATCGAACACCATTCGAACGAGCCACAACAACAACAATGAAACCCTAGCACACACCAACCTTCAAACGAGCCAGCAAAATTGAAACGTATCCAACCAAATCAGAATCAAAACGAAAAACGTGAATACAGCAAACTACCAAAACAGAATGAACAAAAAATAAGGAAACGTCTATATCTGTTATGTGTATCAACAATATATATATATATATATATTGAAGGGCATAATAGTCCATTAAAAATAATAAAATGAGGAAAAAGGATCTAATTGAATGAAAAGATAAATACATGGGACTAATCAAGCTACACTAATCATTTGTGGACCTAAAAGGTTACAACAACTCTAAAATGGATTTATCAATAAAAATCCAATCAAAGTAATTTTAAAATTAAATAATATCATAAAATTTATTTAAAAAGTATAAAAAAATAATTTAAAATAAATTAAATTTTAATTATTTTATTTATATATATATTGCAGTTGTTATATCATTAAGTGTATATTCTAAATTCACAATAAAAAATATATGTCATAATTTAATTAGCAAAGATGAAAAAAATAGAATAATGTTTTTTAAAAAAAAAAAGGTCTAACATCCCTCTCCAACTTTTAGTAATGGGAAGGGTTCACAATATTTTTTTTTTTTTTTGTAACATAAGATCCATCACCCACATCCATATATCACACACTCTCTGTCTCTGTCTCTGTCTCTCTCTCTCTCTCTCTCTTCTGCCTCTGTATTCTCTATATGTATATATATATATACCAAGTTTCTACACCTTGATCAGCCTAGAACAGGTTATCTGCTAAAATTTGCATTTATCCCAATTAAGGTATTCGTTGGCTTTTGCAATCAACTAATTGTGACCACTAATATAAAATAATATAGAAGTTAAAGGCTCTGAAAGGCAACTACTGACACTTGTTATTAAAGATCAACGCATATCGTGGTATAGATTAATACTGCATTCTCACAAATATTAGACATGATTACAAACATTGTGTGTAGAGAGATGGTAAAAATAAAATGAAACTAGATGGTGACAATGATGTAAAGTTTAAAAATAAAACCCAATAAAAATCGAAATGACTTAGATTTAGGGGGTACTATTCTACACCAATTTCTTCATTTTTCATTTGTTTGTTCTCAGTTTATATTTTTCCAATTTTTGAAATGAAAGTGATGAAAATTTTGAAAACACAATTGGTTCTAAAAAAGAAATAGAGAAGAGGAAGTGAGATAGTGAAAATAGAGCTTTATGATGCATCGATGATGGTGTGTTGGAACACACTGTCCTAATGACAATAATATGCCTTGGATGCTTGATGAACTGAGAAAAACACATGCTGTTGAACCATGTCAAGATGGAAGGAATTTTTTATATAAGGATTAGTTAAAACGCTTGACAGAATTTTCTCTAACAAGAGTCCCTTGAGATGAATTTTCTCAGTCATCACAATTTTCTCAAAACACATTGGATTCAATTTATTGTATGTGCTTGTTTGATCTTATTGAAGCTAATAGTTTGGTTGAGATGAATTTCTCTTCAATTTTTTTGTCATTAGTGCCATGATTGATACCAAAGAAAATTATTTGTGAGTAGCTCAATTTTCTCTAGCTTGTTTAAAATACAGAGAAAATTGTGAGCAAATCAGACAAAATTGGTCAAAACACAGAGAAATTTGTAAGTAAACCAAAGAAATTTAGAAATACAGAGAAAAATTGAAAACACGGAAAAATTGAGCAAATTAGAGAAATTTCTCTGTAAAAATTTGAGGGACCCGAACTACTATGAAAATATTTCATATCATTTATGCTATAAAATTTTAATATGAGGGATTTTAAAAAATTCCCTTAAAAAATTATATTTATAATAAAATAAAAATAAATTTCGTTTTATAAATCTTTTAATTTTAGTTTATTCTATGTTAAAGTTTGTCATAAAACTTAAAGGGTGAATTACATTAACGGTCCTTATAGTTTAGGGCTTGTGTCACTTTGGTCCTTCACTTTTTAATTATGACACATTTGACTATAAATTTGGAATCTTGTTGCAAATAAGGACAATTGAAGATATGATTACTTAATTTCAAGGGCAAAAATCGTCAATTTGACAAAAATAAATGTCAATTTTTTTTTTAATTTTTAAAAATTATTTTTCCTACTAAAGATAAAATTATGTAAATTTGATAAATCTTTTAGACATTTATTTATTTATTTATACCAAATTAATTTTTATTATGTGCATAGATGATGATATTGGTGGTTGTTGTGTTCCGGTTTTGGCCCGTCACTTGTTGTGTTTTGGACTCGAGTTGTATAGTTCTGAATATTGATTCATATCTTGTTTCCCTTGTCTCCCCTTTATTTTGGTTATTGGGTTGTGGTTATGTGTTTGGAACAGGTTGGTTGCGTGTTTTTCCAAACCTATGATGCCCAGATTTTGGCTCTTGCGCTCGAGCGGGCTTCACAAATTTTGCTCCTCCGCTCGAGCAGAATTTGTCAACTCTTAGTATTTTTGCAGACTTACAAATACTGGAAGAATGTGTTTTACGCTCGAGCGGCGTTTCCTACGCTCAAGCGGGTGGACGCTCGAGCGTCTAGTCTAATGCTCGAGCAAGGTCCTTCGTCTGCAAAACTTCTGGAAATATGTATTCCACGCTCGAGCGTAACTTTTCACGCTCGAGCGGAACTTTGCGTCTTACGTCTGAACGTTACTTTCCACGTTCTAGCGGACTGCATATATAACTGTCCGTGAAGATGATGTTTTTGTTCACTTTTTCACTTCTCTCTCTTTCTGTCGAAAACCCTCCAAAACCCTAGATCTTAAGTTTCTCTCCCTACATTTTAACCTAGATCCATCGTGTTCTTCACCCTAGTGCCTTTGAGAAAAAGGTAGAGCGCTTCAAGATCTTCATTTTGATTCGAACGAAGTTAGGTTTGAGTATCCTTGGAGTTGCACCTTTGCTTTGCTTGGTCTTCTAACTTGAGGTGGGGATTTTTCTACCCCTTCATATGTTATTTAACTTAGATATTTGTCATTTGTGTAACAATGGTGTGATTTGGGGATATTTTAATCAAACCTAAGGTTTGGGTATGAGATGAAAAGAGAGGTTTTTAATGAATAAGAGATAATTGATTGTGGGGTTTGAAAATGACGTTATATTGTGTCCAACTTGATGATTTTGGCACTTGGTTAATCTATAGCAAAAATGGGAGATTTTGCCCTAATTGGATTTAATTGTTATTTTGTATAAATAACTGAAATTGACATTGAAAATGCGAAATTGGATGATTATGGGTGTAAATGGTAGAATTAGATATGTATTATCTCACACCTTTGAAAATTCTGAATAAATTATATGTCTTGAGAATAAATATCTATTTAGAAATATCTATATTGGGCTATCAGTAGAGAATAGCTATGATTGTTGTAGATATTGCATGAAGATTAGGTGAATTAAAACTAATCCATGGTTGGCTATCATTGTATATGATCATGTTGTAAATACATTGTATATGTATGATTATTTAGGAGGATAAAGTGAATGGACTCCATGTGTGATTATGTGTTTAAATACATTGCATATGTATGATTGTTTA